TTATACTAAATTTTTTAGTCATGAAGAGTAGTTGTAAAAATAGGATATTATGACAAAAAATTAGGATTTGGTTTCATTTTTTAGTAACAATATATGTTGTGAGTTTGTGACTAATACATTTTTATTAATTCAATGTGTATTTTTGGTGACTAAATCAATTAGTCACAGAGTTTTCCGTCATAATTGAATTACACTGTTGTTTAGTGACTAAATGTTTTAGTCACATCATTTTGTACTTGGTAACAACCTTGGTTGTGACTGAAAGACTTTTTTTTTTTTTTTTGGTAGTGACATAGGATGAACAGAAACTGCCCTATTTGATAGGACTATTGAATTCTCTATGTGTCAATCCAGGAAAGGTCAGGATCCTACTGTGTTCAACAAAAAATCATCTTCAACGTTAGCTAAACTCATCATCATCCTTAATTGTGAACTAACCTCAAAACTAAAGAAATGGAGCACCCGGTCAGATACTGAAACTTACAGCAAAAGTTTAATCAATCAAATCTAAATCATTAACTTATTCAACCACTTATTTATCATCGTAAATCTAATTTCACCTAACTGACGTCTCATGGCTTGCAAAACATAAGGGTTTATTTCTTCATCATTAACCTATTTTCACCCACCTAAATGTATTTCACTCTCGCAACCTACTACATGAATCTCAGCAACACAAGTTTAGGTTTATGACGCACATGGATTTGTACGAGTTGTGGCGAACACAAGTGAGCATGGAAACCTAATCAGTCCACTGGCTATACAGGTCCATTAAAAATGGCGATAAATCCTATACAGTGACGATGGACACACCAACATTGGGTAGGTTTTGCAAAGAACTCGGTAGTGAAATTATTTTTTTAGCTGCATTGTCTAGTTCTGAACAAGTAGGAAGATCTTGCTGACATTGTTTAACTTAAAAAACCATGAAATTTGTTAAAAGGAGAATGCGTAGTTGGACGATAGATGCTTTTGAAAACGAGCTCTTCATTTTCAGCATTTTTAAGTTTCTGATCCTTTACACAATGTTTAGATAACAGAAATAAAGTTAGAATTTGAACAAAAGTCGGAATTTATAAATAAACATTCATCAATTCTCTTGTTTGGATACATAATAAAAAATAAATAAAATAAAAAAAGAATTTCGGCATGAAAAAAAAAAAAAGAATTTGGAACCTCCAATTCTCAAGTTTAAGTGACAATTTATAAGAAAGAATGTACATGAAAACTACCACATGTCACCGCCAAATACCCTTCCCTTGTCACCACTGCCCACCACCATCATCACCATCACCACTTACCATTACCACCTCCACCACCCACCATCTTCATCACCATAACGGTTGACACCACCACCATTCACCATCATCACTGCTACCAACACCCCCTACCATTATCATCGCGTTGCCACCATCACTACTAGCACATCCAAACTCTCATTTATATACAATATTAATTACTGTAGACACACATTAAATTATATATTTAAGTTTTATTGTTCTATTAGGTTAACCAAACAAAAAAATTTACAAATTCTAGAAAAAAAAAAAATTCATCATTTTGAAATATTTTAGTAATCTTAAACTTTTTCTCATCTAAACGCAATGTGGGGGTGTATGTGGGTAGACATGGAAATTTCTTACACGACACATAAACAACAAGAAAATAACGGGTTTCGGGTCAACACAATAACTGATTTGGTCGTTATCGAATCATACGATAAGAACCCGTTAACGGATCCCTAACAGGTTTACATGAGGGTGACACATAGGTAACCCGTTTCGACACGTTAAGAAAAAAGTTGTTTTGATGATTTTAATCCTTTAAACTACTAAAAAAACTTGTTATAAAGCCATAGTGGATATGTATATATTGTATATTATATTATTATTCTATAAAAATTTAAAAAATGTAAGTTTTATTTATTTATTTTATAGTATACTATAGGCAAAGAGTGAGATTAAAAAAATTATAAAAGACATTAAAAATAAAAATATCAAGTAATTTAAAAATACCAAACACATTAAAAAAATTATAATAATTAATTTACAAGTGCGAAAAAATGTGAAAAAAATATACAAACGCTCATGATCGCATCCTCTACGCTTTGAGGATGGGTACATCGTCGTTTAAACTTTTAAAACCATACAAACCCTTATAAATAATATTTTTAAGGGAGTTCAAAATAAATAAAATTCATAATAATTAATGGACAAGTCTAAAAAAATGTAAAAATATTGTATGCATATACTAATTTAGTATTATGTTTTCCATTTTTTGGGGTCAAATTATGTTTTTCATTTTCATTATTTATTGATTTAAAAAATATATTTTTTTTAACGAGTAACCGGTCGGGTCATATTACTAATAATATTAGCAGGTCGATTTCAGATTGAGTTATATTACCCATTTACTTTAACAAGTGTTACACAACACGACTCGTTAAAATATCGCGTATGTCACAAAACGACCTGAACACGGAAACCAGGTCTATATGTGGATTGGCTTGGTTCAGTTATGGGACAAATGCCAATAGAATCAACCTGGTAGGTATGCTCATTTCCAAAACCAAAATTGAACCACCAGCCTGTTAAACTGTCTACACGCCCGTCCACCGATTAGTTTGGTGCCGGTCGACTTTCGGCAGTAACTGGAGATGTGAACTTCAAGCGATAACGAAAAAAGTAGCTTGTAAACTATATTCAGAAAAGTAGTCATGAATCGTTTAAGGTCTTTGCGTTCTTTGGTGGACAAACGGTTTGAAAGCAAACATGAAAAAATTGGCTCATCTCACCTTTACATATATCCATTGTTAGTTTGTCATTTTGATAATGAGTTGAAATGCACAAAATATTCATGTACAAAATGTTATGAAATAGTTGTGATTGTTAAGTGAAAGTGTTTTTTTATGACAAAATAGTGTTGAAAAAAAAAAATGAAAAAAATAGAGAGTAGTTCAGTATAGTTTCATCCACAGAAGGAAAATAGAAGAGCAGATAATAAATCTTAACAGACATTAACCTCCCACAGCCGTAATTTACAGCTGATTTAGTTGGGTTAATGGGTCGGGTTTGGGTGATTCGATAAAAAATACGATTTGTGGTCAACCCGATCCAAACCCGTTAACAGGCCTAGCAGTAAATATCACAAACAAAGTCATTAAAGTCATCACCAAACCACTTCAGCATCAAGAACAAAAGTAAAGTTCTTGGAGGACTGCATTTAAAATATCAAACCAGTACCAAAATTCACGAAGCATTAAAACCAAGTAACATCAAAGACATGGCCAGATGACATATTTCCCTCACCTAATGATCAATATCTCATCATTCCCTGTGACCAGAACAAATCAGCCACGTTATTGGACTTTCAGGGCTCCAAAATAGGCCCAAAACAACTTGAATTAAAGCTTGAGATGTCCCAAATATAACGGCAGAAGGCCTCGAACCCAAAAAACATGATCTTGGACGCCAAAAAGCTAGAAAATAAGTAAATAATAAAAACGACGTCTAAACACAAACCTATAAATGCTTTGGATGAGTCAAATTAACTGCAACTACATTTTTCACCCAGCCACTCCTCTGAATTGTTAATCCTATCAACAATAGTGTTTATAGTAAAATTTGACCATTAGAAGCACACATTTACTACACGAGTGTATATACAGTGTCTAGTAGAGAGCGAGAACGAATACCAATAAACTCCTATACAGAAGACTTCTACAACCATGAAGTGACTAAAGAGTTGTTTGAAACGGAAAATAAACCCTAGCATCGACCTTCCCTTCCCTAAGAAAAACCTTGTAGGACAACCTTCCCTCCCCTAGGAAGAACCTTGTATCGTTCCCGATAACATGGACTACAACTTTATAACCAACACAACAACTTGAACCACAACCCTAGCATTGCAACCAGCCTTTCAAGCACTATTAAACAACAAGACATCCTAACATAGAAGCCTGGTAACCACTAGTCCAATAACATTTGAACAAATTCAAGCCACAGGGATGCCTTTAGAAGAAAGACATGACTTTTCGAAAACTAATGCTTGGAGATAACTATGGTTGGCGTGTACTGTGTGCAACGGTATTTTAGTGTCATTCAAGGAGATCCACTGTCAACAATTCAGTAATGAAATTATGCATCCCTACAAACAGAGTCAGTGTAAAGAAAAACTTCACCGAGCAACATTCAACATACTTGATAGCCTGAAGTTTGAATTACAGTAGGTCAATGACAAGGCTAGTAAAACTCATGCTGCCTTTACTACACTGTTGTCTAGCCCCAAAAACACCAAAGAAACACGTTGCCCTTTACTCTAAAGGCTAAGTTGCACAAATCATCCGTGTGGTGAAAAACATAAGCTCTCAATACTATTGTGGTTAATTACCAATCTCAATCCAAATCGAACTTTCCATCCAAATTCCCTCCCATTTGGACCGACATGTGCATCACTGCTAGGAGTAAATGGGCTGTTTCAAGCCTGACTTAGGAGTCAATAGGCTTCAACGGTTTAAAAGGACTCGTTAACATTGCACATGAATCCCGTAATCCGTATTGGCAAAATTGGGCAGAAGGATTGAGAATGCTAACTGGTTTTCACCACATCAACCACATCGGCATATGACACACCAGAAGCATGGTTTTTGCAATGGGGAGTAATTTCTCTACTCCCTTTTACCTCATACAGCGCAAGTGCCGGAGCTAAAAAGGATAGTACAGAAGTCACTCCCCTCTTGCAATTTGACCTATTCTGTAAGATATATGGGTAATTGAAAAATTGATCAGAAATCCAATCGTAATTGTTGTACTGATCAAAATGATATATTGAACACACAGCGATCAAACACCTAAAACATAGTAATCAGATATCGACGACATAATGAAAAAACTGATTATTTCAACAATTGAGATTGAAAAACGGCCCAAGAAATCTAATATATGATAAAAAATGATGCTATGATTAACATAAAAGAAAAAAAAAAAAAAAAAAAAAAAAGATTCACAAGACAATTGTATTTCATAACCCAAGATCATAAACAAGGAGTAATTTATAAAGTTCACTAATTTTTGGGTTAACAACGAAAGAAAAATAAAATATGTAAAACGTATCTGTATATTATTATATTCAGTCTCACAAATCAACCTTGCACGGACTTGCCTGACCCGTCAAAGTCCCGGTCCCATTATTCCGGGCAAACCCGGTGAATTCGACCCCATCGCAGAAGACCCGCAACAACCGACGTCTCGTTTGAAACACCCCTGACTTAAACCGGACCAACGCCTCCACACCCACTCCGAACCTCACCGACCCCCGATCCTTCCCGTCGGCGATTTCCCTCGCCACCCCGTCGTCGACGTAACCCCCCACCGTCGCGAGCTTGATATTGACGCGCGTCTGATTCCTCTTGGCTAAGACGAAGGGAGGCAGCGCCGCCGCGGTGAGCAGAACTTCATCGTTGTATATAAGCGAGGCCTCGAGTCTGTCGTAGAAGATGGTGAGCTTGTGGTTGGGGTTGGCGGCGAGGAGGGTGAAGTCCCAAGTGGCGGTGAGCTCGGAGCCTGTCGCGTTGAGCGGGGAGACGGTGGCCGATTCGACCCGGAACTTGGGGAGTTGAGGGCGGAGGGCGAGCCAGGAGATGAAGAAGATGATGGACATGATGGTGAAGACGGCGACGGCGCCGATCATGATGCGGCAGAGGATGGTGGGTTTGCGCCTGAAGGGCCCATTGGACTGGGGATTGTAGTAGGGAGGTGGCGGGCCCGTGGGCTGGTAAGTATTGGGATTGAGGTGCGGCGGTGCAGCCACATAGGGATAGGCTGTGGTGGCCGGGTATCCGGCGGCGTATTGGCCGGGCGGAGTTGGATAACCCGTGACAGTCTTGTCTTGCGATGCGGATGAAGTAGCAGCCATTTCAAATGGGAGATATTTTTTCTTCGACTTTTCGGAGTTTTTGGTTTCCAAGAGAAATAAAAATAAAGAATAAAAATAAATAATTCGATAGTTTCTAGGGTTAATATATTTTCCAAGGAGTTTCGGATTCTGAGAAAACAAAGTTGGATTAAACAAACGTCTTGTTGTCAATGTAATTTGTTTTTTTTTTCAAAACAAATATCTCGTAATTTTGTTTTGGATTAATGATTAATATTAATCAAGGATCCAATAACAATTATCTTTTATAGACAGTTGGAAGCTGCCATAAATTAATAGTTGATTAGGGAAATGATTAAATTTAATCAGTCGGACTAATAACCGGCATCTCCGGCACGACGATAACTTTGAGTTGAAAGCACTGTATGCAATATTGAGAAATTTTTTGCGCGCCCTCAACGGCGACGACACTTGACCTCACATTGTCTATCTCGATTTGGAATAGGGATTTTCTGCATGTTTTCTTTGTGTATGCCAAATGATAATTACAAATTAATTTAATTTTGTTTCAACTCAGTTTGCAATTCTTATATAAATGTACGAATACAATGTATGACAAGTTATAAGAGAATGAAAAGATAGGAAGGAAATGAAGTTAAACACTTGTCAAATATTCAACAACAACGTAAATGAAAGGAAATGCATAAACGGGCAAAGATTAAACTTATTCGTGTAAGTTCTATTTCCAGTTGAGCAATTTCTTTTTAGTAAATGAAGTACTTTGAATTAACTTTTAACAACAAAAATAGGTACTACAGGAATGTAGCAGAGCTTTAAAAAAGAATACAATTGAAAAGGCGTTGAACTACAAAAGAAATTTATAAAAAGGAAGGCTGAAGAGCTTTAACATCTTTTTGTGTGGTGAGTTAAGTGTCATTGTCTTTTGCCTTTCTAATACTTTTTATAGAACATGATTTCCTTCTAAGTTAAGCCTTTCCTTCTCAGATTAATCCTGTCTGAACCCTAGTTATTGATGCAATGGCTGTCAGATGATACGAATTTACGTTGCAACTTGAGCTTATATCATCTAAAAGCTATCAAAATGCTATCGGAAAGCACTCTCCTTCTGTAAAAACGAAGTGAGTTCTTTGTTCAGTGTGAAAGAGAGTTTTTCTGCCCATAATACCACATGGAAAGTTCTTTTAAGATTCTTGGGCCTGCACGCTGTTCATTCTGTTACAATAGCTATCCATTAATGACTTCAGTTGAGAAATAAATAGATTGGGCCTTGAACATGCCCAATGCTCAATTTCAGTCCAAACACAATGGACCAACCAAGAGTTGCTCATTGGATTCCCCGAAACCATCTCTAATCAAGGTGGACATTGACGGCGTTTGGCGGGCTGCTTCTATGGATTCGGGAGTGGGAATTATTATAGCCGGCTGTTTAGTTCAAATTAAGTGCAGGAAGTCTTGTAGGAAATGTTTAGTTCAAATTATTTGGCTGTGATTTTGTGTTTAATCAGGTGCCTATTAATCATTCTAAAGTGCTTTTTGCTGTCTCTACTGGTTTGGGTTCTTTCTTGGCTGCGAGGACGGTTTTGGGGTCTTGCAGATCGGACTGGACAGGTCGGGCTGGCCAAGTTTCTCGGTGGTGCGCTCCTACCTTTCCTAACATTAAGATTAATGTGGATGCTAGTTGGTCAAAGGTCTCTAAGTTGGGTTTTGCTGGGGTGGTTATGCGGGCTGAGGAGGGGAGGTTTGTGGCTGCCGCGAGGCACTCTCTTACCGCTCCCTCGGCTGCAGCAGCTGAGGCTGTCGCTTTGCTTCGTGGTTGTGAATTGGGTGCTGGTTTTGGTGTCACCTCTATCATTATCGAATCTGACTATCTTGATGTTTATTTTATATAAGTGGTGAGAAATTTTTCATTGTGATTGGAACATGGAGGATGCACCACGTGTTTTTATATAAGTGGTGGGAAATTTTATTTTTTAAGTTATCAACTTTTTAACACACATATCCTACAATTTGTATAATGACACATGGTGTACACTCCGTGTACCGGGCACACTGAAAATTTTCTCTAGGACAAGGACTATCATTGGAGTTTTGACAACGCTGCATCTTCTTCAAGTTCTGCAGGTATGATTCTTGGTGCTTAGGGTTGTTACAGAGACTTTATATATAGTGTCCTCTCTGTAGTGCCCTTGTAGAGCCGTTCTTGGTTCTTGATTAATTTGTGATTTATTAGCCTAAACTTGATCTAGTTATTGGGCATGTTTGCTCTTACAGTATGTGTAAGAACCTCCATCGCGAAGAAGTAGAAGATGAGGCAATTTTGAAGGGTTTAAACTTTAAAGGTAGCAAAGGTCATAATCTCCAAGAGGTGATCTTAGAGTGTGACTGCAAACGAGTCATTGAGTGCATAAAGTAATGAATTTCCTTTTCGACCAAAAACACTACTCATCATGACAGCCATTTGGTTTGTACTAGTTTCAGTCACAGGATGCCCCGATATACCTCTTTCGTTGGTTTTGGAGGGAACTAGGGAATGTCTTCCAATATTTAACAAAATTAAAGTATCTACAACAAAGTAACAGATATCACCACTTCATCTAATATACAACCAATTAATAGACAGTCTCCCATAAATGAAGACATGGGAAGAAGATCATCATCAATGAGATCGTCAAACCATAAACAAAAATCCGATCCGTTTTCTCATCTATCATGACATGATATATATATTTCAAGTAGCAGTTGAGTTACCAACCGTTGGTAATGTCGCATTTCCTTGAGCTCCCACCGGACATGCTTCCACTACTTGCACCCACCGGAAGATTTACCTTCAAATCCGTACATTTCACTCTGAGGGTGCCAGCCCTATAGCTACGATACCACCACGTATGTTTCATCATGTACGTGACCGACATCCTCAAGTTGAAGCTCACACCCCCTCCTTCCTTCTGTTCTTTCTCCATGTCCTCCACCACCCCGCTCCCCACCGTCGAGTTGTAGGCCTCCATCTTCAAGTGCATGGTGCCCTTGGACTTGGAGCCCAAATGCATCTCTTGCAGGTACGACCCTCTCGAAGACAAATAGTCATCCTTGTGGTACAAGGCAGTTTCCCATTTGTCCACGAACATCCTCAGGCCGAAGCTAGGGTTTTCCACGGACATCGTGGCCTCCCATTTGCCTGATACCACTTTGGTTGTGGGGACCATGTTGAAGTTGGAAACGCCGAAGGACTCGACTTTGAACTTGACATTTTCGGGACGGACGACCGCAAACACAATGATGCTCGTGAGGAGGGTCGCAATGAGTATGACGAACATTATGATGCAGAAGCAGCGCGCGAAGCTGGTCGCGGCTGCGTCATGTTGAGAGTACGTGGTGGTGTAATACGCGCTCTGGTCTGCGTAATAAGGGTTGTAACCGGCGTTTGGAGGATAGCCCTGGTAGGGTGGGGGTGGGGGATACCCATTTTGAGGCTGAGGGTAGCTCATATTGGACGGAGGGTAGGTAGCCCCAGGCTGGGGGCGGTCGGCCGCGGAGGGGCGAGATTGGTCTGTCTCTGAGAATTGAGTCGGAGGTTGATCTGCTGGGCGGGGTTCATTACTTTGGGCCGTAGAAGCCATATATGTATTTCTATTGTATTTATCTATTGCTATTTCTCTCCCCTCAAGAATCTCCCCGGAGAGAAAGAAAAGCGAGAAAGAGAGGGAGTTTTGCGGGGTGGGAGATAGAGGAATGTGGAAATGAAGGAGAATAATTATTGAAGAAATTAAGAGTGTAAAAATAGATCCGTGGGGTGTGAAAAGAGCGGAAAGAGCGTGGGACAAGGTAATTAATTAGAAGTTCTATGTTAAGTAAATAATTGATAAGTGTAAATGGATTGATATGGCTAGCAGAATTGGAAAATGAATATTGTGTTGATATTTGAGTTGATACGTATTCCAATTTCCAAATATGTAGTAAAGCTTTCATTAATACCTAGGTGGACGGAGAGAATTTTGGGTGAGGCTGTCCTGTGCCGCTGTGCGGCAGCTCACTCACATGGAAGTGACCTCCACCCGATCTCACTTTTAATTTGTAGATGAGCTACTACACATGACAGTCTCAATCAAGAATTTCTCATTCGACGATAATCCTATATATTTCAGTCTCAGAGAGTGAGCTACGTACTGCAATCAGTACTGTGTTTATGCGCCAAATTTTGAGAGAAAACAATAATACATATTGATTAAAAAGGATCACAACCGAAACAAAAAAAACTTAGCTCATGCCGTAAGTGATTAGGTGAGCCATACTACACACATTAGGACTTGAAATACGGTGCCTGCCAACGACTGATTGTGATTCTTGAAGTAAATGGTTGCCATCACATGCAATGAATCACCTTCAAACTACACCTGTCAATGACCCTACGAGCCGCCATAGCTTCCAAATGAGGTGGACAAAACAACCGGCGATGCAGCCGCAGCAAAAAAGAAAATTCCTTCTCAATCTTGGACGCTGATGTCGATGCAACCCTTCCCGCTAGACTCACAAAATGCACCATCAAAATTAACTTCAAGCCAACATGGACCGGAAGTGCACCGTCCATTTTCGCTGCCACACGCGTTGCTTGCTTTGGTATTTGAAGATATATATTACTCTAGCCATGTTGATTCTCGGGTAGCTCCTTCTACCGGATCCATCTCCCCTTGCCAAACAGATTGTTCCTAGATTTCCACCACGACTAGAGCTAACTGACCTTAGGTAGATCATTTGCCATCTGGAATAACCATTCTTTGATGAAGAGAGAGCGTGCTGAGTTCACCTGCAAGCGCAAAGGATTAATAACCCAAAAGCGAGTAGCATGTGGACCGTCGCGCAACAAATTGTTTAAACGCCAAATTTTGAACTTGAAAGCAAATTGTCTGAGAAGTGAGTTGCCACGTACCTTATTTGGTATCTGATCTCTAACGCTTGCGTTACAAAGAATAAAATTTTCTTTCAATAGACATAAAACCCTACTTGTCCTGCCATTATTTAACTTTCATTCTTCACTAGCAAAAAAGTAACCAAATATACCTAGTAATTTTATCTTTACCTTGGAAAACGAAAACAAGGAAATTGAATCCTGCAAAAATCAAGCGCCAATCCCAATTGTTAGTTTGTGCCCAAAATTTTATACCTCACAAAACTGTAAAATCAAGTGAAAAATATGCTTCTCTTTTTTAAGGGAAATACGGATCTAAACAATACCTCTTCCCCATCAGTACGAATCTTGTAAGGAGAAAACATGAGGAGAGTGAGAATCAAACTCTTTCCTGATGCTTCGCACCTAAGTTCGTGAGATAACTCAGTAACGAGAAAAAGAGATACCAACAAGGTACAAGAAAATAAGTCTTATTAAATTCTTCATGTTTATAAATCTCAATACTCAGGCAAGGGGACGAAACACCAGCCTCCCTCACCAACAAGCTTCCCCTCTCCAAACGAAGACACAAATTCCACTCTCAACTCCCTACACGTCTCTCCAACACTCAAACCCCAAAGCCATGCCCAAATTCTAGTTTTCCCAAATTGATAAGGCACAACCAAGTCCATCTTCACCTCCAAACTAACCTCCTTCAAATTCTCCTCTCTCAAAACATCAAACACTAATTCCTCCCCACACTCTGTCATATCAAATCTTATGAGCAGCGCGTCCGGCCTCTTTGCCTCAACGTTCACTGGCTTCACTGAAGCACACCACAGAGCCTTGAATTTCGGGTAGTACACAAAACCCTGAAAGTGTTTGATGTCAACTTGGAGACCATTGTTTTGGCTGAATATCAATTCCGCATCCCAAACGGCACTCTCCAGTTCCAAGATAGGGTTTGTTAAGTTTGAGAGGGAGAAGGATTGCTGATTGATGGCAATGGGGTACGTTCGGATGCCAGAGTTCAACGACATGCAGATGGTTGTGGCAAACGCAAGTGCTGTGAGGAGAATTGTGCCAGCAGCAAGTTTGATTTGCATTGCTTCGAACAGTGCCTTATTATGATCGGACGGCCACAGAGAAGCCATGATTTTGTTTCGGTTTTTCTGCGAGGGAGAGAGAGAGAGAGAGAGAGAGAGAGAGAGAGAGTATTAGAGCAAAATTAATATGGAAAACTACAGTCAAATTCAGCGAATCAGTGCATCAAATTGTCAAACGATACAATTTATGTCATTAATTGAATAAAATAAATTCAGTTGCTTACCATACAAGAAAAGCGAGTAGAAAATATAACCGTTTTACCATACGAGAAAAACGAGTAGAAAATCACAAAATCTTCATAAATTAAGCCCTAAATACCCTGCTACTTTTTTCAAGGGGGCAGACCCATCATTTTAGCATTAATGTACTAGACAGTATGGCACGTTATCGTTATGTTTATCAATTTAACCCACTGACATTACCGTTTCTTAAAAAAACACTTAAAAGAAGACAAATAGATGTGCGGTAATCAATTTCAGGAACCACATTGGTCGATTTTGAAAATGAGAGACTAAAATGAAGAGTTAAGTCAACAGTCCTTGAAAGTTTGTATCTATAAATACAATGAGATCACCACGTAAATTACAAACAGAGGTCCTTTAACCAAATATCATTCCCTTGCCTATATCACAGCAGCAACTAGCTCAAGATTCACATTATTGACATGTAGAGTAAGATAGATTACATCATTTAGGCAACGGAATGGAGCACTTACGCCCCTCAATTATCTTTCCCTTGGTACCTTTTGAACCCCAAAACTCAACCTTCAAACCTGAACAGTTGGGATTTAAAGCCACTTGGGTTCCCATTCCCAGTAGCTCCTTCATACTATAGGAAGCATCTATATGCATTTTCAAACTAAAACTAAGGTAACCCTTCTTTTTATCTTCACACAACTGCTTCATCACTCGATCTTCCACATACGGCTGTTCCCCCTCACAACCGGTTGAATCAAATTTGATCTGCACAGTTTTCTGCTTCCTAGGAGGTATGCGCAGCGTTGCATCCACTGAAGCACATGATAGAGCCTCATTTTCTTTGTAATACACATAACCCGCAAAAGGGCTGAGGGTAACAATTAAGCCGCCATTTTGGTTCCCAAATGTCAACTTGGCTTCCCACTCAGCTGAAAGTGACGAATTAGAAACTTCAAAATTCGATAGAGAAAATGCATCCAAACGAAGCACAAGGGGGTCTGTCCCCGGACCAGACTTTGAATCCACATAGTTGCCAACGAACCATAAAGAAAATCCGATGGCGGTTGCTAGACTCACCACAATCAAAACAAGGACTATGTATCCACGAGCTCTAATGAAATATGGAGATGATTTGCACCACAAAGAAGCCATATAAAACTCTTCCTGAAATTATGTTAGTATGGTTAGTCTTGATTTACAGTTTGATAACATAATATATTAAAAATATGGCGAAACATTGTTCCTCTTTGTTTATGTACCACTCAATGTTCCTAAAAAGTCTATCTCACTAACCGGCAAAAGAAATAACATTCTAACAATAAATTAATTTGAAATAAAACAGATTACGCAAATCTTTTCTCACATAACTCCATAGGAATATGTGGTAGGCAGGCCACTAGAGGAGTATCAATCTGAATTTTTGCAAGTTAATTCTTACTATTTCTTCATGTACATCTCATTGTCACTGCAGTCTGTAAATTTCCATCTTTCTTTTCAGAATTGAATAATGAAATCCCTGTCGTTTAGGAAACTTAATTGGATTGTAAAACCCGTTCGCCAAATATGATAAACCGAGTTGACAATTTAATTTAAGATTTTTTTACAACTTTCTTAAAAAAGAACAAATAAATAAAATCATACCTTGTGAATGTGGTGGTTAATTTTCTTGGACAGCGATCAATCCAATTATATGGAGGTGGGGGAAAATTATAATTAAGTGATGAGTCAGTCTTACAGAAAAAGTGGAGATATTGATCAAAAGAGAGAAGAACAAATGATGGAAGATGGCAGCGGTTACACAACATTACTGGAGAATTATTTGTACGGAAAGATATATAGATGCATATGACGGTTGGGGTTGGGGACGTTAACAGTTCATTCTGGCGAAGCGCTGTTTCATGTTTGCAGTTAAGTTTTTTTTTTTTTTTTTTTTTTTTTAATTTTTTTTTTAAATAAATGATATTATTTACATTAAAGAGGAGGGATGAGTTTAGCCTAATAATGAGCTAACAATAAAGTGGTTCAAATTTGTATTTGACGAGAATCGAACCTAAAACCTCTTGTTTGCAGTTAAGTTTTAACTTTACTATTTGTTTCTGAGTTTCACAATTTAATTGGGATCACAAATGGCGGTCCTTATATATCGAATTAACAATCGAAAGATGGTCGAAAGAAAAAATCTCTATTTGACAGGGCTTCTTCCTATACCTATGAATTTCATTGGACCCAGAAATGATACATTGGAAGAATCTTTTGGGTCTTCCAATATCAATAGGTTGATTGTTTCGCTCCTGTATCTTCCAAAAGGAAAAAAGATCTCTGAGAGCTGTTTCCTGGATCCGAAAGAGAGTACTTGGGTTCTCCCAATAACTAAAAAGTGTATCATGCCTGAATCTAACTGGGGTTCGCGGTGGTGGAGGAACTGGATCGGAAAAAAGAGGGCTTCTAGTTGTAAGATATCTAATTGTTTGCAAAGGGGGGCAAGGGCAGTAGGTAGATCATTTTCTAGGATTAATTACACAAATACTCCCTGAGGTTTTTTTGTGTTTTCACAAAACCCCCTCAAGTTCTCAACATATCACAAACACCCCTTGACGTTTTAAAATCATTTCATCAACCTACTTCCATGACAAAAAAAAAAAAAAATAAATAAATAAAATAAAAACACTAGCAGTCATGACTTAAGTTATGAAAATAGAAAAATACCCTTACAAAAATCATTTCATCAACCTCCCTTCATTTTTCTTCTTCTTCCCAGGTTCCTCTCCCTCTATTCTTCTTCTTCTTCGTTTCCCCTCCCTCTTTTCCTCCCCCTCCTTCCCACAAATCCCAAAACCCAATTCCTCCGCCGGCCACCATGAAGCGCCACCAAGTTCCATCCAACCACCCTTACAGTAGATGCCATGCCGCATCTTGAGAAATGGAGATGGTATTGGTACACGACCAAATTATTTATTGTTTTGTTCTTGGTTTCTGTCATGTGTTAGTTTGTAGTTTGTATCGAAAAATAGGAATCCCGCTTCTTGAACCGGGTCATGTTATATGTTACTGTTGTATAATGATAATGTATGTGAGGCTGTGCATTACAGCAGAATTGTTTGTTGCTTAATGGCAATGCAAATTGAATTTGTTAGCACAAAACTCTCTTCCACTTTCTCTGTTTGTTGCTTTTATCATCTTTTACTGGTTGGTTGTGCTCAATGGCTTAATGTTAAACACACTCAATAAGAAGCAACTTTGCCTCCACCCACCAGTCCAGTTTCCAGTCCATGTCTCTGCCTCCATGCTCTGACCGACAGTCTTTTACTGGTTGCTGTTAATGCCTGAAGAAGAAGGTGAGGGGTGATGGTGGTGATCGTGATCGATGGTGTTCGTCATCGTCGCTGTTGTCCTCGTCGAAGGGCTTCTGCTTGTGGAAGATGCAGCACTTTTTGGAGCTCTTCTTCTGCATAAACTCGTTGTCCACCGTCCCTTCCTTCCACGACACCTGCTTCTTCTTCTTCCAATTCAGCTTCAGCAACACAGCTTCCGATTTGTCAATTTTTTTTTAACTTCATAAGGGTGTTTTTGTATTTTCATAACTTATGTCATGACTGCTAGGGGCTTTTTTGTCATTAAGAGAGGTTGATGAAATGATTTTAAAACATCAAGGGTGTTTGTGATATGTTGAGAACTTGAGGGGGTTTTGTGAAACACACAAAACCCTCAGGGGATGTTTGTGTAATTAACCTTAATTTTCCAATGCAAATTATAATTTTTGTAGGGTAAACTCTCTTTAAAACTTTGATAAATGTAGCTCTGTAGTGAGTCATGACTATGACCATTTACTTTCACGATTGGAGAAAATATTTTCTTTTAACTGCCAGGTTATAAGTTCGATTTCCTTTATTCTATACTGTTTTATAATTAAGATAAGATTAATGCTAGTTAGACCAACTTTTTAGGTCAAATTTACAAATTATGTAATGTGTCGTCAATAAGAAATGAGAACATTAATCAACATTTAAGTTAAAAAAATCACATAAAAATACTTTTTGGAAGATAATCATTTCAAATACTTTTTCAGTAACAATTGAGTTTTTGCTTAAAAAAATTACGTGCTTCTAAAAAGTCAGCTGTGCTTTGCGAGGGACTTAGCATGGTTGATATTATTTTCTTACATCCTTATCTAACTTTGCTTTGATTTTTGTTGTTGATGGTGCTGGGCTAAACTTTAACTAGCAAATTGATAACATCAGATTTTTTTAGCCGTGTCGTGTCCTGCACCTCTATTCATATGACTTCTACTTCTTGGGTACAGGTTCCAATTAGAAAGAAAAAAAAAACAAGGCTTCATCTCAATTGATAATTTACAATTGCAAGATCCTTAATCTACATCGAACCATTACATTATAACCTCAAATTAAAAAGCTAATTCTGGCCTCGTGCTACATGGAAAAAAAAACCTAATTAGACTATTTGATTAAGAAAAGTCTGATTTAGTCAATTAATTAGCATGGGAACTGAGCACGTCATAGGCCCTCCACTAATCCAGCTTCCAAACCCAACTTTAGGCAAGAAGCCAATCCTCAAATCCAAACATTGAGGGTTCATTGTAACAGACTGTGTTCCACACCAACCGCTCTTGTACGTCGCCCAAGCAAACATCTCCATGCTTAAATCCACAGCCCCGTCTTCCCGTTGCCTTTTGATCTCGTCCAACACCCCCTCCTCCACAACCGGTTGATCAACATCTTGTGACCCCATCGTCGATATCTTTACGTGCATGGTTCTTTGTTGCTTCAATCCCAGTACAAATGGCTCCAACGAGTATGTTAGGATAGCGCTATCTTTATACAAAATCGAACCATCTAAACGGTTGAAGCGCACCCATGAAACCAGATTAGGATTCTCTATTGTGAAGGTTACGTCAAAGTTGGCACCAAGCATTCCTCTTGAGATGTTAAGTTTGGACACGAAGAGCGAGTTGAGTCGGATTTTCGGGGGCTGTGGAAAGTGGGACGTGGCCATAACGACGCATATCAAGGTGACAATCCCTAATGCGAGTAACAAAACACGGTGGACAAGTACTAATTTCGATGTCCATCTCGATGTAATAGGCTGCGGTATGTAGGAGTTTGAAATCGACGGGTTGTGTGAAACTGGGAGCAGGGGAACGGTGACTGAGCGTTGCGCTGTTTTACTAATTTCCATGATTAATAGGAGTTTGTGCTTGTAATATAATGTCAGAGCTTATTAAGGTTTTTGAGGGAAAGAGAGGGAGAAGATGATGAGGAAATGAACCGGGGAAAGAAAGTTAATATAAAGGAGAAAGGGTAAAATTGAATAACTGCTAGATAGTAGAGGTCGTTATAAACTAAAATTTATTCGGAACCAAAATTTACCAAAAGAGAGTAACAAATAACTAGTGGAATTTCTAAACATCAGTCATTTGATAACAAAAAATGATTAACTGCGCTAATGTCTAGCTAGAAGTAGGAAGTAGTTGAAATATTGTCGGGTGGCGGGGAGGGCCTAGCCAATTATTTTTAGTTGACGTGATCAGTTGTAAAGGATGATAAAATTGGATGCAGATTGTCTGCCTTCCTGTTATCGTGCCCTTTCCATTCCCTCATATTTGTGCGGTCACGGTTAAGACACGTCAACATTTTATATTGATTTTTTAATAGAGATAATAAGATAAAAAGCAGTAGGAATATAAAATGTAGACGCGGCTTAACCGTGACTGCACAAATAGGTGGGGATGGGAAGAGCACGGTAACAGGAGTGCAAACAATCTGCCTCTGATAAAATTTCCTTCGAATACTTATATAAAGAATATTGCGCATATCTTTAGATGTTAATCGGACAGCGGAGAAAGCCTCAAGCCTAAGAGCTTGTTGTTAATGGATGAGGATCCCATCTGGATCCAAATGGTGAAGATATCATGCAGTCAGTTTTTGTCAGATATTATTTGTGTTTAATTTTAAATGATGTTTTATCGTATGATATACAATGAACGGTTAGGATATGAGGATCTCTAGGATCCCCACCATTTGGATCCGGATGGGATCCTCGACCAAGACTATCAGTTTGTTTTTACCTAGGTCAAACATTTTATAAAAATAACGCCTGCGCGTTCAATTGTACATAGATTATAATTTAGTGATTTT